ATACTTTTATTTCTTTCAGTTTCTCATTTTCCTACTATCATATTAACAATAAAATAGTTCAAATTTTTCACTAACTTTTTCATTTTCTGTTAAGTGTGATACTTTCTCTAGTAGTAACTGCTTTGTCTCAGCTAATAATAAATTTAATACACTCTAGTATCACAATTTCATTATTTATACCTGCTATTCTTTCAAACCTATCACTCTCTGCTCTATAGGCACTCAGCATTTTGCTTTTAGTACCCAGTGTTTCCTTCAATGACTCTGTTTCATTCTTCAATAACTCTGCACCTTTCTTAGTTATCATATTTTCCTATGAGATGAGTATAAAAGTAACAAACTGATGCAAGTTATGAACAAACACACTACTTCATATATGGCAATCACACCTCATTTAAAGTAGTAACCTCCTCTTTACTATTAATCAGTTGTACACTCAATGACAGCATCAATTGTTTCATTAAGCCACTACTAGTTGATAATGATGAGGTGTATTCATCTATTTCTGTTGTAGTAGCAATGGAGGTGTCCTTTACCTGTTATTAATAATAAATATCAGTTCATAAAATAGTCTATTTACCTCATACACAGTGCAGTATCCAATGGTTAATCTCTTCACTTTGTTTTCTTTCAATACGTCAATATTATTAAGAGCAACTGTAATTAACTGCTTAAATATAGTCAAAAGAAAGGAACAAGTGATGGTGAAAGAATTATCTTCTTTAATCACATTTAGCCTGACAAGAGGTGATGAATTTTCAAACAAATTTTTTAGACATATTCTGACATCATCAAGTATAAATTTGGCATGACTTTTGTCAACAAGAATTGTAATCGTTTCACACTGAAGTAGTGAGATGCTTGAAAATATTTCTCCCAGACATTGTGTAAGATCTTTTTTATTAAGCTCCTTAGCAGCTTTATCATTATATTCTAGAAGAACTTCCTTAGCTTCATCTATATTAAGCTCATCAACTAAACTCTCCAGTAAACTAATATCAATAAGTGAACTATTATCACTAATTAATTCTAAGATATCATCTATATCTTGACACACAGCTAGTTGAGGTCGTAAGGATTTACAAAAAAACCTCAATGTACTTCTAACGTCTTCAAACATTGGAATAGGCTTTCTTTTAATGATTAATCCCACTTTTTTGAATGTATTGCTAAATTTTACTCTCATTGACATAAATTTTGTTGCCATTTTTAGTGGAAGATAAAATTTTGGATATTTAGCTATAAAAATTAAATCATAGTCAAACACAGCAAACTCATTCTTACCACTACTTTCACCCATTTCTGGTAAATCATTTCTGCAATATAGCTCTCCTTTATTGTTTATGCAGTAAATGTAATTCATTTATTTTTATCATTTATACTTACTGTATTCTTTCTTAATGACATTTCCTATTCCAACAGTGATCTTTACTTTACACAAAATCTCAGCAAATATTATAAGCTTTCTGTAGTCATTGCAAACTGCTTCCTTTATTTGAATCAGTAGAGCTTTTCCTTCTACAGTAGCAAACAGCATCACCTCTTTTATTAGCTTCTCTGAACACAACAATTCAGTCAGCTGAGGTAATGCAGACAGTAGAGATTGGTTTGAGAAAAAATGAGCAAGAATTTTACAACCAGGATGCTCTGACAAAAATATAAATAAGAAATATTAATACTCATTTATATCAACTTACTCTCCATATCTATTCCATCAGCTACTCCATTCTCTCCTAATTCCCTCAATGCTGATACCAATGAATAGATACTAGGACCACCTTTCTTCTGCACATTATCAGCTTTCTGTAACCATGCTTTGAGACACTCACGTAGACAACTGTCAACATTTCTTTCATTTTCTTTAATAGCATCCAGTGTAGCAGAGGATAGGCCAAGATAAAGTCCAAGATCATAGTAACTGACTCCTGAGTAACCATGTCTTCTGAGTAATTGAAGTACCTCAGCAAGATCAGTAACTATTAAATAATTGTATTTAGTATAAGAAATAAGTAACTAAACATACTTTGCAGTTGATTTGTATTGTCTGCTGGTCCAGGAGAAGCCATTGAGCTGAAGTTTGCAAAGAAGGGTGGGGCTCAATAACAACGCCCACGTGATCTGATTTAATTAAAGTAGGAGGGGCTAAGCCACCCTAAATTGCCTAATATCTATGAAATTGCAAAGCCAATTTTTGTGATGCTTGATTCAGCTTGAAGGCTTGAACTGAGTGAGTCTGAGGTAGTCTCATCTTTTGTAAACTGATAATTCTATTTTATGTACTATTAGTGTCTATATATTTATCAGTAGTACTGGAGTAACTGATGGATCAGTGATACAATCATTGATACAAGTTATGACTGATGAGAATTACCAGCTCACTGGACCCTGACTCTAAGAAGTTAGTCTATAATTATTATTTATTTATACTACTGTATGGGCACAAAATATCACGTGGGATTAATTTTCATTATTTTTGTTGTGTGAAGTTTTAATCCAGTGAAATTCTTCATATGACCACACCTTATAGTGCTTTAAAAAGAAAACGTGAAATTAAAAAACTACAAAATTAATATTTTGCCAAATATCATGAAAATTTAACACCACAAATATTTGTACCAGTACAGTATCTGTTATTGTTATTGCTGTTGTATGAAGAGGAAGGAGAGAGAGAGAGAGGGGGGTCTAATAGCCTATACCATGTAATACCTACACCATGGGCTATAGGTATTTTGCAGAATTTTGGCATTTTCTTAAAATGGCCATAACTTGAAAAGTTGAAGTCAGAATCAGCTGAAACTTTCTACATAGCATAAGGACATCAATATGTATCTGAAAATGTAATAAAAAATTTGAGGTGAGTTTGGAGTCATTTTTGGAAAAAACCATGGGCTATAGCCTTGAGTAGTTTTGAAAAATTTGCAATTATATTTTTATTTATAACTCAATGTCTTTCCTCCCTATAGTCTGAAGAGTTATTACGTGTGTATCCTTCATATATAAATTATTTTGAAGTCACTAAGGAGGCTCTCAGTTCCTGTGATCGTCAGTT